AGGAGGAGGAGGAGGAGGAGGAGGAGGAGGAGGAGGAAGAGGATTGTGGGGTCCTTGGTGCTGAGCTTGGATGTTTTCTTGCAGACATTTCGAGACCCAACTAGGTAACGTATTCAGTGTTGGGCAATGCATGTTCTGCCTTCTGCCTTCTAGCACTTACAGAATGGGATAAAAACTTCTGCAAAGGGCAGAAAGTTATATTTGATGTGTCGAGGAAGCCCCGTCTTTCTTTTGACATTGCTGGGGTCATTCGGACGCTAGAAGAGACTCGACAGTTCCAGGCTGACCTCCTTTTCCTCCCAGAGAGCCCCAAGGGGGATTCCTGCTCTTTTGTTTTAAGGAACCTAGAACGTCCCCTGGGAACAATCTCTGATCCCATAATCGATTTGGGAGATCAAGGCAGGAGCCTTGTTTTTAGTTAGGACTCTGGAGCCACCTAGTGGCAGATCCCTGTATCACATTCATGTTTTTACACTAAGAAATTTTGGAAGGAAGGAGGGAAGGAAGGAGAGAGGGAAGGAAGGAAGGAGGAAAGGAAAAAAGGAAGGAGGAAAGAAGAGGGAAGGAAGGAAGGATGGAAGGAAGGAAGGAAGGGAAAGGGGGAAGGGAAGGAAGGATGGAAGGAAGGAAGGATGGAAAGGAGGAAGGAAAGGAAGGAAGGAGGGAGAAAGGGAAGGAAGGAAAGAAGAAAGGACGGAAGGAAAGAAGGGAAAGGGGGAAGGGAAGGATGGAAGGAAGGAAAGAAAGGAAGAAGGGAAGGATGGAAGGAAGGATGGAAGGAAGGAAAGAAAGGAGGAAGGAAAGGAAGGAAGGAGGGAGAGAGGGAAGGAAGGAAAGAAGAAAGGACGGAAGGAAGGAAGGAAAGAAGGGAAAGGGGGAAGGGAAGGAAGGATGAAAGGAAGGATGGAAGGAAGGAAAGGAGGAAGGAAAGGAAGGAGGGAGAGAAGGAAGGAAGGAGGGAAGGAAGAAGGGAAGGAAGGAAGCAAGGGAAAGGGAGAAGGGAAGGAAGGATGAAAGGAAGGATGGAAGGAAGGAAGGATGGAACGAAGGACGGAAAGAAGGAAGGAAGGACGGAAAGAAGGAAGGAAGGAGGGAGGGAGGGATTTAGAGAAGCATTTCTACCTGGGTGATCAGGAACTTGGTCAGCCTCTCTGGGAGCCGGCCCTTCTCCGAAGACAGGATCATCTCCAACATATCCCCGTGCAGTTTCTCCATGACGACAAAGACTTTCTCCGGGGTCTCAAACATGCATTCCAGATTTACAATCCCAGGGTGCCTCAAACTCTAGGACGGGGTCAAAAGGAAAAACAGGAGGCTTAACCTTAAGGAAGAGGGGCTCCCCCCAGCCCCCCCCCCCCTGCAGAGAGAGGATTGGCAGTCAGGGTGCCACAAGAGAGCCAGTTAGAGCCATTTCCCTTGGGCGTTTGATCCCCAGAGCAAATCTCTCTGCAGGACAGAACTTGAGGGGGGGGGAAACCACCTGTCACCTCCTATAGAGCAACACAACATAAATTGTAAGTTTAAGAGCTTAGAGAGAGAGAAATAACCTTCGTTGTCATTTTTCTTTTACTGTGGGCCCACTGGCACACGTTAAAAACGACATTCTATAGCAATAGCAATAGCAGTTCGACTTATATACCGCTTCATAGGGCTTTCAGCCCTCTCTAAGCGGTTTACAGAGTCAGCAAATCGCCCCCACAGTCTGGGTCCTCATTTCACCCACCTCGGAAGGATGGAAGGCTGAGTCAACCCTGAGCCGGTGAGATTAGAACCGCTGAACTGCAGATAACAGTCAGCTGAAGTGGCCTGCAGTACTGCACCCTAACCACTGCGCCTCCATTCTGTCACTTATATAGTTATTAATACGGTGGCATTAGGGCAATTTGAATAAGGCAATCTCATCCTTTAGAACAGAAGTCCCCAAACGTGGCCACTTTAAGACTTTAAGCTTAGCTGGCTGGAGAATTCTGGGAGTTGAAGTCCACAAGTCTTAAAGTGGCCAAGTTTGGGGACCCCCGATTTAGAAGAACAGTAACATTACCAACCTGGAGAACAGCACTATTACAATACTAAAATCCGTGGGGGGGGGGGGGGAATAGCTGTGATTAATAAAAAATATTACATCTAGAGAAAATGCCATGCATTGCTATCACAGTGCGTCTCAATCTTGGTCACTTTCAGACCCGTGGACTTCAACTCCCAGAATCCCTCCTTGGCTGAGGCCTTCTGGGAGTTGAAGTCCACACGTCTTAAGGATTGCCCAAACCAGGAGAGCCCTGATTTTAAAACCTAAACATTAAAGAGTCCAATGTATTAATCTATATCAGGGGTGTTAAACACAAGGCCCGTGGGCTGGATCTGGCCTGCAAGGCCCTCCTGGAACAAGTAAGAGGCCGGCCTGCCTCACTTCGGCCTGGTCTACCCAAGGCAAAGAGGAAACAGACCAGCGGTTTGGGGAGCGGTGTCAGGCTGGCCACCCCCACCCAGTTGTTCACACCCACCCAATCGGCCCTCTGAGGTCAACCACAGCCCTGACGCGGCCCTCAATGAAATTGAGTTTGACATCCCTGATCTATATTGTCCAAAGAACCTGGCAATTTAATTATTAAAAACTAGACGATAACCTGGTGTGGCCTGGATATTTATTTATAGGGTGGGGGGGAAATGTCTGGACCAAACATTGTTTATAATGTTGGATTTTCCCTCTTACCGTTACGGAGTACTATGAAGTCGTTACCATGGCAACTCCACTGCGCTGTGCAGTAGAAGCCATTTTAGGGCAGCACAGTAGAAGCCATTTTAG